AAAATTGAATTAAATAAATTACATAAAAACAAGGAATTTGAAATATTTAATTTTATACTAAAATGGATGCATTTTTTTTAAATTTTATGATACCTTCAAATTTATATTTTTATTCGAAAAATTAAATATTATCGTTTTTTCAGGACCACATAAAATCGTATCATGAGATCGAATGAGACAAAATAAAATAAAACATTAAAATCAAGATGTATCTTGCTACATTGCACGAGTACCCTTCTATCTATACTATATTATAAAGCATTTGACAAAAAAAAAATTAAAAAACATTTTTTTATACATAAAGTACTATTTATTAATGCATATTACCTAAAATTCAAGATTACAAAATAGAATGTGCATGAGTACATCTTATTAAAGCTTCATGTTTGAATTTGTGTAACTAACTGCAAATAAGCATAATTAAATACATAATAAACATCATTTTAAATATAAAAAATCTAAAATATAATTAAGATAATCAATTGAGTTCTAACAAAATATTTAATTATTATCTTAAAAAACTATTATATTAAATCAAAACAAAATTAGTTCGTTATTAAACTATAATAAAAATTGAATTAAATTAATTACACAAAAACAAGAACTTTTAAATAGTTAATTTGATACTAATATCATTTATTTTTTAAATTTTTTTATAATATCTTAAAATTTATATTTTATTCAAAAATAAAAACATTTTTTTTTTCTCAAACCCACATAAAATTACATTATAACATCGATAACGCCAAAATATAAAATGAAAAATTAAAATCAAAATGTATCTTGTTACATTGTATAAGTAGTCTTCTAATAAATAAAAAAGCATATTCCATATCCTTGGAGTACTCAACACATTTGCCACTACCACGTTTCACCAACAACACTAACATCTATGAGGATCGAGGCCGCACACGTATTTGGAAATAAGAAGATAGATCACGTTATAAACCTTGTTTTAGAGGTTTATGGATCTAATAAAAAAAAAGGGATTCATAGATTGTTGAGGTTAGATGCAGATTCTTTGGGTTGGTTTGGTTTGCTAAATATGTAAGATTATTTGATATTCAATTCCTTGGATCATATTTTTTTGATATTGGATTCTATCGAATTCCGTTGTTGAATGGTTTGATCATTCATTGTTGGCAAAAATGTAACGATTTTTATAATTTGGTTTTAAAAAGTATTTGTTGTATCTAATTTAACTAACACCACCCCTCGCTCCTACCATCAACACCGTCGTTACCATCGCCACCATCACCAATGCCAATTACCATTATCATTCCACCCCACCACCACTTTACTATGTCCACCATCACAACTGTCACCCATTCCAACCCCCACCCACCATCGACATCACCATATTATTATTGTCCTTGTCACAACTACCACCCACCACCACGCCACTATTGTCATTGTCATAACCGTCACTCACCACCCCATTGTCGTTGCCACCACAACACTTGTCGCCTTCATAGCCGTCACCCCACCCCATTGTCGTTGCCACCACAACACTTGTCGCCTTCATAGCCGTCACCCCACCCACCCCACCACACCACGAACTCCTTCACGCCACTACCATCGTCATCACAGCCGCCACCCCACTACCATCAATTAATATTATCATTATATTTTATGTAATTCATAGCTATAAATATATGAAAATGTAATAAAAGGGGTACTTTGGTCATTTATTACTATTTCATTTCAATTTTGAAGCTATATTCTGCCAACCAAACATGCATACTCCAATTACTTTAAGAGATTTCATTATAATTCCTACCGAATAAACAAATGGTCAAATTACATCAATTTCATTACGGTTCCTTCAAAGTCATGCTCCTTTGATAGATTTCAATTTCACCAAATTTCATTCTGCAACCCGGACGCTTTTTAAAAGGTCATTTGGTTCGCGGAATCCAAAAGAATTTGATGGAATTTGAATGACACATTTCTTAATGCATAGATTGAGTTAATCGGATTCCGCCAAATTATGGGTTGAGAGATTTGATCATTTTTTGGCATAAGTGAAAGAATTGAATTTTATTCCTTGTCAAATGTAACAGATTTTTTTAATTTGGTTTCAAACAAAAATAACATTTGCATCGAATCTAATCACTACCTCAATCCTCACAGTGTCACCACCCCAACGCCTTAAATATTTTTAACTTCTAGACGAAACTCCATCTTTAGGATCACAAGCACGACCTTAACATCTTCTCTAACTTGTGAGTCTTTCGCTTCCAAGACTGCAAGTTGGTGGTGAATACTTTACGACGATGACCATGATCATGATCATCCATCCTCCCCTTCAAATTTACTTACTAAACATTTAATTTTTGTCTTTAATGTTATTCCTTCTTGTCGTTTTCTATTCAAGTATGCAAGCACCTTAAGCCATGACAGGCTTGATTCTTCGTCTTGGGTAGGAGACAATGATGAGATAACAAACCTAAGGCAGGTGGATATTGTTCTTGTTCCATTATTTCATTTGAGTTTATAAAGAAACCATGTCATTTCTTAACAAGTTGATCACTTGATAACGTGTTAAAGTTTATGAACTTAGTGATAAGTCATTTAGAACACATCAACTTGAATGACTTGGAAAGTAGATTTGAGAGAGTTACTTCAAACACAAAGATTTGTTGTTCCATGTATTTTGAAGAAACATTGTATACTTCACCTAAAATTTGTCTTACATAGAAATATGGAGACCTAAATGACAAGTTTTGTGTAACTTTATAAAGCTTGAGAAAACATCATTGAAACAGGTGGTGGTAACTATTGTTGTTGATGCATTGCTACAATAATTTCCTTTTGGAAACTGCGTTTTCATCGTATCTAGATCTTGCTCCCTGACTTCCTTTTATATCATGTTAAAACATTTGTAGTTGTTAACTCACAAATTTTTGTTTTGAATTCTTTATTAGAAACCATATCTTTCATTAGAATTTTAACGAACTTTTACTCCTATCTCCATGGACGAGATTCGGTATTTTACCACTATTACTTGTAACTGACGTTGGAACATTTTGTATATATGCATTTGGTTTCAAATTATCATAATCTGAGAGTGCATAAACCTCCTAACAAGTTTTTCCACCTTGGGTAAAAGTTTTTTGAAGTAAAGTAAATATATATATGATTTTTCTACCACTTTGTTACTCATATAGGTGTGATATAGGTCAAGGCTACCACACGAGGAGAAATCCTCTTTAATCTGGATATTGAAATAACCTTTAGACAAAGGAGGATAGTGCAAAGAGCATTATAATCTGCCAAAGTTTTAAATGACGCGAGTCATAGTGTGGCGGAGAGGTCAAGCCGAGCCTTATAAGTTACGACGAGACCACGACATTTTTCAAGGAGCGCCCTAAGATGACATATATAAATACACACTTGTTTTGTTTTAATGTTTTGAATAATACCAGAGAACAAATTAAATTCATGTAAAGTAATAAAACTAAAAAAAAGAGAAAAAACCCATTGATGTCAATATATATATATATATATATATATATATATATATACATCTTACAGAAAATGATATCAAGAATGCGAAATCAGGATTAAATCTCTTGAATCTCAACTCATTTTTCAAACAATTCGTGTTAGAGTTTTCGATCACGGGAATGAGAGTAAGTATTTACCTATTTAGGGTTTTAGTTTTTAAGTTTCAATTTTATGTTTATTTAATTCTTGGTCTCGTACCTAATTATCATTTATTCCTCAACTATCTATTAAAAAACCCCCCACACCTTACAAAATAACGTGTCGTAACGCACTATAACGCGTTACAATGCAAGTCAAACCTTAGAGTGGAGGCACAAGAGTTAATGTGACGGTTAAACCAAATCTTATCACCATAACACGCCATAACAAGTTATTTAGAACTATATTGCTTTAACCTCTCCTAACATGGATGATTGAGAACCATTACCCTCAATCCTTAATAATCCACCAGATTCATTTGAAAATCACTATGTGCCTCCTGAAAATCAACCTCCAATAAATAATGGTATCCCACTTGGACACAATGTTAATAATCCACCAAATAACTCAAAATATAATCCAAAATATAAATTATAAGAAGGGTGGAATTATTGACTGTTTTCAACCAGTTAAGCTGAAGGATACTAAAACCACAAATTCAAACTTAGCATTTTGAGCTAAATCCAGTCATCTTCCAAATGTTGCAAACCAGTGCCCGGTTAAATGGTTTTCCATCTAAAGCTCCTTAGTTAAAATTGTTAAATGAACATCAAACTCAGATATTAAAAAAATATATAAGCTCGAGCATGATATTATATTCTCGAGTTGAACTCAAACAACCTGCAACTCAACTCGATTTGATTCGACTAAACTGGTTAACCTTAGGCATGGTAAGAGGGAGAATCATAGGGTGGGGAATGCAATCCCTGACCCGACCCCAGCCTCGGTCTCCGACGGGTATGGGGAATCGAATCCCCTCCCTGCTTTTTGTTCGACCTATCCCTGGTATATAATATGTAATATACATAAAAAGAAAATAATTTTAATTGATACATATACATACAAGATATAGTGGGTTGGGGAATACATTACGGACCCTGGCCCCAGACCCAATACTCGTCTTTATTGTAAATCTCCGTGAGTTTCTCAATGGGCCAGGGCAAATCACTATATATGGTTAACCTCTAGCTATAAGCAAAATGTTGTCCAAATACAAAACGAATTTTGAGTTTGATCCCGAGTCCCTCCTTAGAAAATGTCCCCTGATATTGGTGTCCTTAAAGTAAAGTTTTGTATATTTCCGATTGACATTACCGGTAATTAACCTTTTATTCAAATAAGCAAAAACAAGTTTAAAACGGGATTTTTTTACCAAAAATATTAAATGAAAAACAAAGGGGAAAACACAAAAAAAAAACAGCAAAATCAGTGTTAGTTTTTTGTTAAAATACTGAATTCTCCGAAGACCGTATTTATGTTTTGATACTTTTAGACCACCAAGAGAGAAATAGCACAAATCCATAGAGAGAGAGACGGCGCACAATCAGTGAATGGTGCGAATCTGGTATACGCAATTCCGCAGAGCTTCGTCGGATTCCTCCTTTGCTTCGCTTATGAACCACAAGAAAGATCCGTTTTGTTGTTCTTAATCTTGATCTTGATCTTGATCTTGATCTTGATCTTATCCTTTTCATTTGAATACTGATCGTATCCGAATTTCTAGGAGACGATTTCTATTTCATCAGATTATCACTGATTTGGGAATTTATTGAAATTTACTTTACCAATTGCATCGGAGGACGTATCATGTGTTTTACTATGTGACTGCCCAACAAGTTCAATCTTACTCGTAAATCTTGTTTTCTTCTCAGGCTTTCGACATGTCGATCTCAGGTGAATCTTTTGATTTTCAATATGATGTTATTCTTTTAGCTTAGGTCTCTGGCATTTGTTTTGTTGGGTGTTGTCCGTGGATAGAACTAGGGCAACTCAATCCATACTGATTTAGAAACTTTTTGATCTAGTTCATTGATGGATTAAGGTATATCATACTTATTGATTCGAGTTTATGTCGAGCTGATCCAGAAAGGTTTGGTTTATTTTTCCTTAGAGAAAGAATGGGACTTTTATTACGTTGTAGGTTTCGTTCATATGTACATCTGTGAATCAAAGTTTATTTCTTACTTGCAAGAAAAGACGAATTTTTGAAGATGGTGTGATAAATAGGTTTGTAGTTATTTTCCTTGTTGGTGTTTAAACTGGCTGCGAATATGTCAGATAACTTTTGATTAAGCTTATGTTTTAGTACTTTGCAGCCATTGCTATTATATGTTACTTTCTATGTTCTGTTGAGAAGGTCTGTGTTAGGAGACTTTATGGTCTCACAGTGAAATAGAATGTTGTGGGTTACCCAACATATGTTTAGAAGTGGAGGTAGTTACTTACTATATTGGTGATGTGAAGCGTTGTTGACGTTAGACCCTTCAGTTCGACACTTGTAGATACAAAATTATTTACGAGCCGCAGCATGTGTGAAGCAGTCTTGTATCAGCCAATCAACTCTCGTAATGGCAATTTTTTGATCCTATATTTCGTGAGATATTATGGCTCTTGTCATCTAGCTAACATTCCTGTTGTCTCTTCCTAGGCTCACTCAAAATCATGAGACATACTATCCCTTCTGCTTGCCTTTTTTTTCCTTATCAATTCTTATCCTCTGTTTTTCTGTTCCTGCAACTTACTTCAGCGAGGGGTTCTCTGGTGGTCTTTGCATACTCTCTTTTCCTTGCGATTTTATAGCGCCTCGTCTGAAACCAAGAAAATTTTACTTAACTATTTCAATAAATCAAAACAGTGTTGATTAGATATCTTGAGGATGTGAAATGAGTTTGTGGATAACTTGCTATAGGGCGCTAGTGTTTATGTGAAGCTAGTATGACAATGTAGTAACGGCACACTAACATAATGCAACTACACCTATGTTTTATTACCATATATCTCTCTCCAATAAATCTAATAAGATGTCTAGTAGCTTTGTTCAAACTCTTCTTTACGAAACATTTGTCATCTGTAGCTTCACCTGAATCACATGTGGGATCATTATTTTTTCCTGGTACTTATAATTGACACGAAGGGTTATAAGTTACCCATAGGATTCATTTTACAGCCTTTACCCTGGCTTGAGAGAAGCTATGTAAAATTATGTCCCCACAAAGCATGGAAGCATGCTATTTACATTCCAAGGCTTGTTTGTTTAATCTGTTTAAGATTATCAATTTCGCACGAGTTCCATAGCTATCCTAACCAAACTAGTTAGAGAACGAAAGCTTGTTGGTTTTGTTGGCTATAACTAAATTATTAAAATGAATAATCACCAAAAGGAATGAGGTAGCAGGAGCATCCTACAAGGCCGTCTTCCAAGAAAATTGCAAATATTGGACATCACGCATGCAAATTGTTGCCGTAAAGATGGAGCATCACCCATCTTTAATTGTTTGTTTGTAATGTTAGTGGAAAACAACTTATCAAGATTTTTGACGTGTCTTCCATTCTACCAGATGTTGTTCATATGTTTGTAGCTTCCTATAATAATCTGCAACATAAATGTTAGGTAGTATAATAGATTCACCTAGCAGATTGTTATGGATTTTGTGTTTGGATAGCTTCTTTGTTGTGCATCGACATAAAATTTTAGAAACAAGGTGATCTGTTGTCCTATAGGCTCAAGATAAATTGTATAAATATTATCCCCATGTCAACCTTGGTGCTTTAACATTATACTGCCATTCATTAGCCAACTCTTGTAGGATGCTGGTCAGTGAATTATCACTCGCATAGAAATCAACCAGCTGATGAAACCCAAGTTCCTCTTTATTCTAGCCTGAAGTTTATGCTTTAACCCACATATTTTTCAAAACTATTTTTTCTCACAGGACTTGTCAAGTTCATTTGTAAAATGCATCTATTGACTACAATCTGCTAGTAATGTCTGGGGACTCTTTCTTTCCCTATGACTGTATGGCTCGCATGGCTCCATTTATCTGACCAACTTGTTCCAAGTCATTTACTGGTTGTGCATTAGGTATAGAATATTATTGCTCATTCAGGTGATTGGTCAAATACAGTTCCAGTTGATAACAAGTTCAAATGAGAAAACTTGATATGCTTGTGTATGTTATCCTATAACGTTCTTTCTTTGACCTTATGCTAGTTCTCAGTTTATAAGCCAAACTTTTTGATAACTCGATGTGTGTTTTGTAATGGTGGATGGCTTGTTTCTTTGGTTAATTCTTGTTCATGTTTGTAGGACTGCGTGAGGAGCATAGACAGGAGCTTGAAAATCTGACACTAACATCACAACCTTTCAAAACTTTGAAGCTTTTTACTGTGGCTATTGTGGAATATATAAGGAGATCACTGATATATCTTTTAAGACATGGTGGATGGCTTATGCTTTTGGTCACAGTCACAGTTGCAGGTGGAGTCCTGCTTTTGTCTATTGACGGTCCTCATGGGAAGGTACTTCATATTGCTGGTTACTTTGTCTAGAACTTTGCATTTCCATTTTTGTTATGATGTTACCTTGTTGTGGACAAATACATATTTCTGCAATTCTATTGCAAATTATGATGCGTATGATGCTCTCAAGTGAAGCTTCTATTGATCATCCACAAAATATGTTACATGCATTGGTCTTTTCTAGGAATTCTGTTCATTATTGAATCTTTTACTTACGATGATTCATCATACTCAAAATTCCTTTAGAAAAATATTGACAATCCTTTACAATGTAAATGGATGTTGATAAGTTCCTTGAATTCATCCGGTAGATGTTACATATATATGTTACATTTTTTTTTCTGGCAATCAATTAGTTGGTATTTGTCACTGCTAATGATGAATATGTAATTCATCTGTTCCTGCAGCATGTCGAAGAGCTTCTTGAATATGTAAGGTTTGGATTGTGGTGGGTGGCTCTTGGTGTTGCATCTTCTATTGGTCTTGGTGAGCTCAATCAATAAGCAAACAATATTATTTTTAATTTTCTCTCCCAGCTAAGTGGCTCAGAGCTTATTTGCTGCTATCATCAAGATATAATTGTGATTAATAGTAGATGATTATTTGTGGCTTAGACTTTCTATACTTGAAAATATAGAACATCTGAATGGATGGTTAGAAGAGAAATAAGTTATAATGAATTTAATGAGGCAACCCAAGCATGAATGATAAAATCTGTCCATATATTGAGGGACAAAAGATAGAATATTCTATTCACATGTTATATAAGTTTCGTTATTGAATCTGCATTGCCAAATGAGGCTCAAAATTTGAGGAATGATCCTTCATGGAGGAGGCTCTACTTCTGGAAAGCCATCAGAAGTAGAATCCATACTCTGGAGTCCTAAGAATTTCCATAAACTTCTACATGCTGCGAAATCATACAACGCTATGGAAAATCATGGTTCATAGTTACTCTTAACAAGCTGTTAGGAGCTAATTAGTATCCTAGATAAATAATTCTCAATCGGTTGGAAGGAAATTAAATCATTTAGTATCACCATTGATAAATACATGACTTGTCGTCTTGTCTCTCTCTTTTTTTGCTGCTTCTGCTCATCTTTCTTCATCTGTTTTTGTTTGTGTGTGTGTGTGTATATATGGATATAATCATAGACAGACAGACAGACACACACACACATATATATATATATATATTCTTACTCACACACACCCCTGCATCTATGTGTGTATGTGGTGGAACATGACATCTTCTGATTAGACAACATATGGTTTTTTTGTGCGTCTCTGAAGACAAGAAAATACACTCAAATACTTGTGGATTCTACTCCATGGGCACTAGTGCACTACCTTTTTATTTGTTATATCTTCAGTCATTACTTCCACTTTCACATACTTTTGTGGATGTGAACATATGTTATGTTTTGTATCTTTATACTCTTCATTGATGGTTTTTTCATTGATTCTGTGAAGCAGTCAACCTTTTAGGTCTAAAACCATAAACCCGTCTTTTAATTTTAAGTTTTTGGTTTTTGTTGTTTTCTCTAAACCTGTCTTCTAACATGAGTCTCTAAGTCTTGTTCTCTTACTCGTGAATGTATATTGTATGCCATCATTGTTTAGGCTCCTATTGGGTTTTTATGTCCTATAGTGTGTAGATATATGTGATGCATTTTTAATTGGAGGTAAAATTCTGAGACCTTTATCTAAAAGAGCCAATATTCATGTGAGTTTGATTGTTAACGGCCAAGCTGAACAGAGCCCAACGTCATGATGTTTTAATTTATGGCTCAACGGTCCGTGGAGCTTGAGTACTTTGTGCCTCGGAAGTACTAAGTCGGTCTTGAAATTTCTTGGGAAGGGACTTGATAAAAGGTTGACACAAGAACTTTGAAAAGAGAGCGAAGGGTGTTTGTAATAATGGCTTGTTTGTGTTGCTTGTTTCTTGGATGAGTTACAATGTTGGGACACTAGTCATTTATAGCATTGTATATATAAGAACACTCTGGATGCAAGCTTGACCGAGGAGCTTCTAGGCTCATCTGCTGAATATTAATACAAGTATCAAGAGTAAACTAGATCATCTTAGGGGCCGTTTACTAAACGCTTACCTGGTAGGTGCTTACCGGGCAATTTTTCTCACCGGACGAACATGGCAAGACCCAAGAATCTTACCTGGTAAGAGCGATGATAAGGATAGAGAGTCTTACCCGGTAAGTGAGGGTGACGACTCTTACCCGGGTAAGCGCTTACCATATATATTGTTGCACACGATACCATTTTGATATACTACAATATTACCTAGAAATTAAATTATAGTGTTGACTCCTAACAGTAAACGCTTATCGGGTAAGCATTTAGGTAAACAGCCCCTTACACAATACTACAAGATACAAGGAGGTATTCAAATATGTTGCAGAACTCTAAAAAATCCTAGTGAACTTGTTGATGGTTTGATAAGCTTCATGTGGGGCATTGATACCATGCTTGGTAGGATGATATTATGGTGTGAAGTTGTGAACTTGAGGAACAAAGAACAATAATTAAGTGCAGCTTGGCTTGGTATTATTGTGGCTCTAAGTTTGACCAAGCTCATAATGCCAGTATCTTCATATGCTCTTGAACATAGTTAGTTATCTACAGCCATATAAAATACTTTGTTCTTCTCAAGGACGGAATTATGGGTGGAGAAAACTTGGTATTCTTCTGTTGAAAGTTGATTGCTGTGAGAAAGCTTTCTTATACCTTTCTTCTTTTAGCTTGATTGGTAGTTGTTAATATTTATCTTAGGTACACTATATTGATCCAGACAAAACATTATTGTTCATGATACTCTAAATATATGTTGTGTATGCGTGCATATAACCAACACCCGAAATTGTGATGCCTCTTTTGTAAGATAATGATGCATTATAAATTTATGCAAGCAACCATGGTTTTAAGCTCCATTACCACATTGCAACCTTCATATGATTACCTTTTTTATTGGGATGGATTAATAGTTGTTACTGCTCTATGGAAATCTAGTTCTTTTTGGAATCTAACTTGCTGACCTTGAACTCTTGGCGACTAACGTTTTCTTATTTTTTTTTCTTCTATTTGATCAGGATCTGGGTTGCATACTTTTGTCCTATATCTGGGTCCCCATATTGCATTCTTCACAATAAAAGCAATGCAGTGTGGTCGAGTGGATATTAAAACTGCTATTTATGATACAATCCAATTAAACAGAAGCCCTTCATGGCTCAAGAAGGATTGTTCAGAGTTTGGACCCTCGTTGTTTTCATCCCCACATGGAACTCAGGTTCCACTTACGAGCATATTGCCTCAAGTGCAGGTAGAAGCTATTCTTTGGGGCCTTGGAACTGCACTAGGAGAGCTCCCTCCATATTTTATATCTAGAGCAGGTTTGTCATCAGTTTTCTTTTTGTATATTCCTAGATTACTATGCCCTTCTAAACTGCTTTTGTGTGTGCACTTAGTTTCTTGAATCTTTGAATTATGTTAAACCAAATGATCAGGCACTGGAAATGTGATTGAAGCTTCAAATGGAACCTTAGTTTCTTGTCTATATGATTGCATATAAAAGTCTTGTTTGTGTCGTTAGTTTTCTCATGTTCCTAAACGTTTCTTCTAAAGTTCCTACTTTCTACTTTTTATTTATTTTCTTTAGTAAGTACAAGAGAGAATTGCTTTTGTGCTGGATAAAAGATTAGGCTGCCAGGTTTGAACAGTACAAATGCTACCACAAAGTGCCATTTGGGAATGAAGTTATTGTTTAGTTGTCTGTTGGCAGGAAGTAGAAGAATTCACAAGTTTTGTTGAGAAAATGCTGCTCTTTCCACCGTGTTGAAGGAGCAACTGTTAACACAACATCAATTGTGTCAAAGCCACTAAGGAATTCAAAATACATATTTGTCATTGAAGTAGGAAAAAGAAGATTCAAAATGGCAAGTTTATACCATCATTCAGTACCCTAGTATACACAGAACAAGTTTTCTCTGCACTTGGCCTACCATGAATTTCCCATGTCCAGTTGATTAGCTCTTATTGATTTAATTTTGATTGTCATATGAATATGATCTATTCCTGGTGATGGTATCACTCTTTTGAGTATTTTGCTTGTGAAATCTGATTACAAAAAGAAGCATCTATTTTCTGGTTTTGGTTAATCGATGGCCCGCTGCTACTTGAGATGGACTATTGTGTTATATTTTCTCTTAATTTTGAGAAGCAAACTTTTTCATGATATGGATGTTGTTGAGCCATCATAGCACTCATACTTGTATTTGCATCTACATATTGACTGCTGCTGTAGCCTTGTTTACAGTTTTGTGGTCTTTAGATAATCCATGCGTCTCTTCTCTCCACATGTTATACAAAACAAATGAATATCATTCTTACAAAAAGGTACATCTTTATGCAGCAAGTCTCTCAGGTGACAGAATTGATGCTTCAGAAGAACTGGATGCTTCCTCATCACAAGTTAAAGGAGTTGCTTCAAACTTGAACCAAATGTCGCGTTGGTTCCTGTCACATGCACAGTATTTGAATTTTTTTACAATTCTGGTGCTTGCTTCGGTTAGTTTTTTTTTATGCTTTTTGCTAATTTAATGGATGATTGTTGATTTCTGATACCCAACTTATATATTTTTTAATGTATCCATTAGCTATTCTTTGTTCTTAATGAATTTGTCTTCATTACATAAGTTGAATTAGCTGGGGTAATTTGTAGGTGCCAAATCCCCTATTTGACCTTGCTGGCATAATGTGTGGGCAATTTGGGATTCCATTTTGGAAGTTTTTTCTAGCAACCCTTGTCGGGAAGGCAATCGTCAAAACTCACATACAGGTTTGTAATGGTCATGCTCTCTTTCTTGAATCCTGGAGACTATATGTAATATAATATCATCATTTTTTGAAACTACATTATTTGGGCAAGCTTCTTTTGCACACATTTTTTGAAATCTGGGGGAGGGGGTCTTCATTGATACAGCCAGTCTGCATACATTCAGCAAAGTCCCCACCTACGGATGGGATATCCTGGACTCGTTTCATTTGGGGATAATCTGCGATGACAGATCTTAACAACAGAAGAAACTAATCACCAAATTTTAAATAGGATGTGTAATTAATTAACAATCTTTTTGCAGACTGTATTCATCATCTCAGTGTGCAACAATCAACTTCTTGACTGGATGGAAAATGAGTTGATATGGATGCTTAGCTTTATTCCTGGATTGGCTTCCACCCTGCCCAAGATCATAGCCAAACTGCATGCAATGAAGGCCAAATACATGGCAGCCCCTCTGCCAGTGACATCAAACATCAAGGTATACTTACTTTAAACCCTTTTTGTATGAACTGTGGGCCACCTCGATTGATCCCATGAGCCCTGAAGGGAAAACCTCCTGTGGCTCAACCCAGTGACAAATATATGTATGAGTGATCAACTTGTGGCTTACCTTATTGTTCCAAACTAACCATCCATCAGGCTTAGCTCGTCCTTGTGTGCAAGCAATTAATGTGGATTCTAAATAATTGAAAATTTTCTTGATTTATGCACAGGTGAAATCATGGGACCTATCATTTGCTTCAGTGTGGAACTCAATCGTATGGCTAATGCTGTTGAACTTTTTCGTGAAGATTGTGAATTCAACAGCACAGAGGTATCGTAAGAAACAGCAGGAAAAAGTAATGATTGATTTGAAAAAGAGGTTGGAGCAATCAGAAGAGGATGATAGCAGCAGCAAGAATTAGTTAGTTGGTTCTCTTCTCATTTCATGTTAGAATTAGATCATCCTTTAACTTACCATTCAAACACCCCCTTATAGAAACATTAGTTGCAACATTATTGCCAAATTTAACTTCAATCTTATTATCCTTTCAGTAGGTGTTGGTTTACTTACATATGAGATGGTTTTATACTACTAGAACCCTCTCTAATTACTCCAAATGCATTCAAAAGTAAGATATGGTGTTTAGGTACTATTGAAACAAATGAAGGGTATGCAATTTTTTAAAGTTTTCCTTTGGCAAAATAGCCAAGTCTGATGGACTAGACGTTAGTTGGAAAATATATCGGTTGACTAATAAGTTAGATGCTAGTTATGTTTGGTAATTGATAAACTCTTACTAGATGATGGTTGGTATAAAGGAATTTAAAATGATATGATAAAAGGATAAGTTAGTTTATATCTTATCAAATGAAGTTTTTTTTCTTTATGATTGCGAAACATGGCTTTAGTTTCATGGACTCTTCTGCTCAAATTCATTGTTCCTATTTTTATTTTTATACTTAATCATAAGATGGAGAAATTCATTACTTTCAGGGGCTTTGGAGCTCTCCCTTAAACTTCAAAAATAAAATTTGATATAGTCTCAAACATCAATTTCTCACATGAAACTTTACTTATTCATATCAAAATTATAAATCTCAAGTTTTCTAAAGGTTCTAAAATCAATAAGTTACTTTATTGAATATAAACAAAGTTCTTTACTTCAAATGGTTTTTCTTATTTATATGGTTATCTACACGTACCTTGTATTTGTTTGTATAAATATAGAAATAGTTATGTTGTTTAAGTCATTCATGCTTTTCAACTCTTTTTTACAACAATTTTCAGGACAAATATATGGTTAAAGAACATATTACCAAAGGGTCTTTGGCCTAGCGGTATCGTAGCTCTTGGTCTTCTAGTTAAAAAAAAAAACATATATATATATATATATTTAAAAGGGTTTTCTTAACTTTCAAATACTGAATTTTCTTACGTCTTTTATAGGTACCCCTAGATAAATTTTCTGGCTCCATCCCTGATAAATTTGTCATTTAATTAATTAAAAACTATAATAACTACACATTTTCTAAAATTCTATACATTTTTCATTAGAGACACTTTATTTTGAGATAGATGAGGTAATTGTATGATTGACCACATATCTTCAATTGTAATACTATTGCAAGCTTAATTGGCTAGTCAAGATAATTGTTGATTGACTGGTGTTCAAAACTTTTTAAGTGGTTTAACTAGAAAATTTTTGGGTTTGTTTTTTATGGTCATTAATTCAAGTCTTTTTAAATTATTGAAGGTTTCTCTAAATGTTTATTTCGGGGTTCTAAAAACTAGTTAAAATGCATGAACACTCACGGTTAAAAAGATCATGTGTTGGACAACCTCGGAGGTTGTAATTTTTATGAGTTTTCACCAAAAATTTAACTCACAAACATAAATGCAAAGATTAAAGAATTAGAAAAGAGATACAAAGACAACGATTAGAGTATTTTGGCAAGTGTATACTTCATTTTTCCTAAGCCTTGATATACCATCCAGTGGAACAAAGGTACTCCCAGAGCATACCTCTATGGTCGCCTCCTCAAAGCCACCTAATGTTTTACCATTAAAAGAAATGAACCCTATTTCTTCCTTCTTAGTCTTTGACCCAAAAGAATACCCCTATGGTATCCACTGTTGTTGCCCCAATCATTTCTTCCTCCACTTATATAGAAGATGATTTCGACCCAATAGAGGCATTTGGACACTTTTCCATGACAGAACCAGAAATCGGATATCATGTTGATCCAGAAGTTGAAGAAGGACTAAATGACACTGGCTCAGAATCAACACCCCAGAGACAGGCTAAAATTCCAAAAGGTGATACTAAACAACAGTTCACCTTTGACGATATCCCTTAATCAAGATGGAGGACAGAAGCATTGAGATGCAAACATGGTGTAATGCATAACTCCAGTACTATGATATTGACATAGTAATTAAAAGATTCATAACCATATGCCAAGGTCATCTCAGAGATTGGTATTGAGCCTTGAAGAGTATCAGCAATTACAAATCCAACAATCCCAGTCTCCTGAAGAACTCATCCATAAAATCTATGTTGAGTTTGTAGGTAATCCAATCGAGCACACTACCCACTCAAGGGAAGAATTCTTGAAAATGAAGTGTTGTTCATATAAGAAAAAAGACCTTGAAAGACATTACGATTGCATGTCAAAAAGATTTTATTGTCTTAATGGACTAGATGATGTAAATCTCAAGCAAGTATCTTCCTAGAAACTCTGGAAAATGAACCATTCAGGTTCTTAGAGTAGAAAGGAGTCACAATTGCTCAAGCCTCAATAGAACTTTACCAACTGATGTTGAATTCACTTGGCCACTCGCTAAGCTCTACAACCAGAAAAACTTCTTTTCTGATCTTGGCAAAACCCTTAGTACAGCCTGTGATGACAAGTATTTATGAATAAAAAGTAAAGAAATTTCTTACTGCCACAAAAGGAAGATGTCTACTTCTAAGAAATTCCATAGTTCAGATGAAAGAAGAAAGCCATTCGTTCCATATAATGGTGGGAACAAGAGATGGAAATTCCTGAAACAAAAATATAACGGGGCTGAAACACTGACATATGCTACATATGAAACAAAAAGGGACATTTTGCAAGATATTGTAAAAACAAGAGAAAATCCCAAGCACTAATTCATACACTCAACTAGATTGAGCCAGTCGACATCTCGGTTCTAGAATCCCTCTATTCTGTTGATGATGAACTTAATGAACATACGTTATGTTCAATTGCCTATTCGGACTCTTCAGATGAAGAATTCGATAAAAATCTTTCAGAATACCATCCCGACATTGAAGTATTCATGGTAAAACCTCTCCCAGTTTTTCAGGCAAGCCATCTTCCTCTTCCAGACATTCAAGTCCCCGTCCCGCATATATTACCCACACAAAAATCAAAGCAATACCTCTAGCCAAAGTCCACCTTCTCACCAAAAATATACCAAAACAATCTCTGTCATCGCCTTTGTTGATACTGGGTCTTCTGTTTCGATATTAAATCCCAACATCTTACTTAGCAGCTATTGGAGGCCACATCACCAACATTTCCTAGTAGCCAATGGTGATACTTTTGTCATTGACCAAATCAGTATCCCAATGTACATCTGACTGTTTCCTAAATGTATGGTTAAATACAGACTGTTAGGATCTAGTTCACACGCCAAGGATCTTCTTATTGGTTTCGACATACTCCACACACTGCCAGGTTTGAGGTACGTAGAACAGGTTCTCCGTTACAATAGTTTCCTAAATCCATGGAGCTCTATTCTACGACTCTATATTACATCAGATATCACTATGGAAGCATCAGATTGTTCAGACTTCTTGGGCCTCCAATCATACAGAGTTTCTTGAAAAAAATAAATCTCCACTATATTTAAATCCTTCATTTTCCCATTCAAACAAGATGAAGATGTTAACCCTAGGAAGGCAAGCCATCCTAGCATGAATCCAGATCATTACCAGCTTGCAATTAAGGAGTGTTCATAAATAAGAGACCAAGGTCTCATACATCACCATAGGCATGTGAATCATTCTACGTCAACAAGTTGAGCGAACAAGTTCATGGCAAGCTTAGGCTAGTCATAAATCATTAGCCCCTCAACCATGTTTTAGCCGATGATAAATTCCATCTACCACAAAAGAATTCATTGTTACAGTCTCTCGCAGATGCAAAAGTTTTGTCAAAATTTGATCTTAAAGCTAGATTTTGGCAATTAGGATTAAGAGCTGATAACATATCAAAGACTGCCTTCTACATCCTAGACCACTACTACCAGTGGACAGTAATGCCATTCAGGTTAAAAAATGCTCCATCTGTCTTCCAAAAGGCAATGATAAGGATTGTTGAACCTATTCTCAACAACACTCTGGTATACATCAATGATATCCTTCTGTTCTCACCAGATGAAATTTTTTACATAGATTTACTCACCAAGTTTCATTCCATAGTCAAGGAGCATGAATCGATTTTCTTGGTATGAAAATATTTGATGGGAAGTATCAATCACAACCTCACATAGGTCAAGAACTGCACAAGTTTCCGGGAATATTGACGTCACAAAAATAAATTCAACAATTTATTGGGCTAGTAAATTATATGACAATTTTTTTGCCTAAATTATCGAGCCACACTGTGCACTTATTCCCCATCTTGAAGAAAAGTCCACCCCCTGGAGTGAAAAACAAACATTAGCTATAAAGAAGATAAAGCAGCTAGCTGATGTGATGCTTCATTTAAAGATTCACACTGTTACTGACAAAAGAATCCTCCAGACTGAAGCAAGCGATGAGTACTTGGGGACAGTCCTAATAGTTCAAGACAAAACTGGATTCAGAATAATTTGTGGATACAAAAGTGGCACGTTCAAAGATTCAGAGCAACACTACCACTACCTTCAAGGACATCTTAGCAGTCAAGAGGAGAATAGAAAGATTCCAATTCCATCTAATCAGTCATGACTTCCATATTGAAACAAATATGTCTTCTTTCCCACACATGCTCTATTTTAAAAGAAAGATACTCTCGAAAGCCCAATTTTTGAGATGGGAGAATTGGATTCTCTCAATGGAAATTTACTGTGAAGTACATCAAGGGGTCATATAATATTCTAGCATATTTTCTGTCCAGGCCAAATGACTATAAATATGATGTTCCAAAAGACATCTAGACACTTCACAAAGCCAAGGTCCATCCAATGGTGTTTCCCGTTGAGAAAGCAAGCTCTTCCAGCTCGTTTACTCTAAACGCTTCTCCACCTCTGCAACAGATCAATCTAGTTGAAGATATCACAACTCTACCACAGGTTCTACCGGATGAGATAACAAAAACGATTGCCGACCTTACCTTAAGAGAAAGGTCTCAGCTGAATTACAATACGTTATTCACTATCACGCTAAAAATACATGGCATGTTCATGAGAAACATCCAGTTCCATCCTGCCTACCCTTTCCACAGATTCTGATCCATAAGTTGAAGAAGAACCAAATGACACTGGCTCCGAATCAACACCCCAGAGATAGACCAAAATTCCAAAAGGTGATACTAAACAACAGTTCACCTTTGATGATATCCCTCCGTCAAGATGGAGAGACAAAAGCATAGAGATGCAAACATGGTGTAATGCATAACT